AGGTAGAAAGTCGATTCAAGACATTCAAAAAGCCTGAAAAAGAATGTATGAGTCACGAAATTTTCGAGATTTGTTCAGATGAGTCATTAAATTGTACAAGTCACTTGGTTTTGCTTGTGAATAGTTTTTTGCAAAGGTTTGAAACTCGGGGCCATAGAGAGCTTACAGCATCCTGAAAAAATTTTTCCTCAAATCCTCCCCCCCCCCCCCCACCGAAGGAAGAGTCTTGAATGTAAACAGATAGCGATATCGTTCTCTAAATCAGGATTCAATTCGTTTCTTAAACCTAAGAAAAATCGAAAAAAATCGTAGCTTGAAGCAAAATTAGAATATGTCACTGCACCATTTTGTTATCGAATAATTGATCTCCAAGCAGAGTTTATCCTTCAATCCTACTTAAATTAATTTTCTCGAAGACCAAACATTCATCAAAATTGATAGTTGTTCGGAAATTTCCAGTGACTGCTAAAAATGGTCAAAATTTCTTAAACAACGATGGGCAAAAGTTTTTAAAGCTGTTTTTGTTATCAGAAATCTCATAATATCCGAAAATGCAACGAACTCTAAGCAACCGATGCCTAATCAGAAAATTTCAATTAAATGTTAAAAAAATTACTCTGCTCATAATATAACTATATTAGCCCGGGTTGCTAAGGAGAACATATATAACGATTTTGTTGTGCAAAAAAAGTGTAGGAAACCCATTCCATATTGCAGAATGATACACACCAATCTGAATAGATTTTGAGATCAAAATCCAAACTAGTAAAAACGAGCAGTGAAGCAGAAAATTAACTATAGAGTCACTGAACAAGCGCAATGCATTCATTTACTCGAGGAAAAAAGTGCAAAACCAGGAGACACACTGGACCCCGAAAGAATTGCCCCGCTCAGCACAGCACAACAGGCTGGCATCGATCTGGGGCTCGAATCTATTTTTCACTTTTCGGAAATGTCTGCTCGGGGGCTGGCTAAGAAGGCGGGGTGGCCGGGCCGGAGGAGGGGGGGGGGGGTGCAAAAATTGAATACGACTAGTGATGCGAGGAGTAATCATCGCTACATAGAGAGCCGTCGCCTGCTTGAAAGGATTTCTGGCGGTGTTGGAAGTCCGAAAAAGGCGATGAAATGAAATCGATACAGGGCGAGAAGAGGGGGGGGGGGGAGAGAAGACGAAGAATGTTCGGGAAAATGGAGGAACGAAAGGCGGAGAATGCAGGACCACACCCACATAAAGATACATCACACACATTCAAAGCCCTATGGACCCATCTTGAGCAATGAAATGGCACTGGAAGCTACTCGAGGAAACTCGTCCTTTTGCTCTCCATTTGTTCGAGATGTCCATCCATGTTGAGCGCAGCAGCCTCGTTTAATCAAGAACTGCCTGGAGACATTAATGAATAGCTGCATCGCTAACTGAGCAAGCGGGGAGGGGGGGGGGGAGAGAAGTAAGTGACGTGCGGACTCGGACCCGTGGAATGGGCCTATGACTAGTACAACTTCTCGGGCAAATGTGCCCAAACCCGTCACGGAGTGGGTAAAAAATGACCTAGTTGTCAGGGCTAGGATTTATTTGACCGATCAAAGCTAAGCTAGTAGGCTTTAGAAACGCTATTAGCCTTTCATAGCACACGTCAACACGTTGTTGTAGACGGAGAATGAGCGTATTGAATGGGCAACGGGTTGGCAAAAAAATTTCCTCTAAGCAATGGATGTAACAAGACGGAAATTGCTTGGGATTTATGTCGCACAATTTCATTTCGAAAAAAGTTTTTTTACTATTTATAACGGCCCATTTTTCCGCATGTCGTACACTTTTACGTAAATTTAGTCGTATGTCACTAGAATAGCATTTCTGACCCAATTTGAGAACATGTTAATAAATTTAAAAGTTGAAAAATTTTGAGCGCCATCATAAGGTATCCCTTTTGTTATTATAATAATGATGAACGCAACAGGCTCGATAGCATCAAATTTCTTCGCAAAATGTGCAGAAAATTTCGAAGAATTTGATTTCATCCATAACTGGGCTCTTGTGGTATGCACAGCTCCTCTCCTCCCCCCCCCCCCCCCCACTTTCCCCCCTCCCCTTAGCTCCTGTAATTGACGATAGCAAAATTTCGAAAAGGCGACGACAAAAAATTCGTAAAAATTTAGAGTTTTCCGCTTCTTTGAAATCACCCTTCAAAATAACTTCACAATAGATTTGAATTAGTTAGTAAGACATAGTTCTTCAAGTTGAGTTGATTATTTACAAATAAAAAATCATTAGCGGTCATTGCTGACGTTAAAATCAAAAATCAATCCTTTTATCATTAATCTTTGTAGCATCCATCAAATTTGCTTCGTGTCATTTCAAAAATAAAAGGATTCCAGAAGAGATTCCACAAAGAGCACCCTTAGACTGTTCGAGCTGTATCAAAATTATTTATTGCGCAAAAAAAAACGATCAATAATGGTAGAAATTCTAAAACTGGTTGAAGTATATATGTTGCATGTTGAAGTTGAATTTATATAATAAATCACTCCTGTGTCTCTAAACTTCATTTTCACTGGCATCGAATAGGCAAAACAGTGAAATGCCAAAAATTATTCTAATTTTCTTCAAAAAAAAAACCTCCGAAGGCCTTCCGCTTCAGCTTAAATTTAACTACTACTCAACATAAACTATTTACGTTTGCACAAATTCAAAAGTAGCAGGACAAATCTAGCTATTTCTCATTTCCCAGTCCGAAAATCAGATTTTAGTGCACATTTTCGCTCGTGCACTGGCAAGCTGAGCAATTTTGTGCTTGCTATGTTAAAAGAAGTGTATTGCTCGGGCTCTTGAAGAAATGGATTGTTTGGAGTTGAGTGAGAAAGCTTTGTTGCGAATGGGCAACAACGAAATGATGAAAACACTTCAGACCTGAATTTCTGAACATACTCTATTGTAAGCAACAATCTAGAATTTTCTACGAAAAACAAGCTTAGCAATGTAAAGAAAATTCCTGAGTAGAGGAAAATGTAGAGTGATCGAAATCATCAAGGAAGGCTTCCAGAACTCTCAAGGATATGATAATTAAAATGAATTTGATAAACTCTTGACATCTATTAGGTTGATGCAAAATATTAAATCTTGCATCAAAAAAAAAGAAAAAATTGCTTTAAAAATGCTTAAACGAACCAGTTAATTTATTAAATATGCTTTTTGTAATGTATATCAAAAGTAATATTTTATAGCACATTTAAGAAAATTGATAAAAAAAACCAAAATCAGTCCAAAAAATTGAAACGTAATTATCCGCAAAGACATTCAATCGCTATCAACTCTTTCTAGTGAAAAAGATTATGTCATGAAACCAAGGCCAAGAATAATTTTGAATTTTAGTAGACGATTTAGAAACTTTAGAGACCCAAAATTATTTTACGTAATTTTTTAATCAGCTATCTTTACTATGCCATCAGTGGATTTTGACTCGCGCAACTGCAGAAAGCGCAGGATTTTTTTTTTAGATTTTTTCTCTCTATTTTGTTTCAAATCAGAAGATTTCACTGAAGCTGGAGGAAGTAACAGAATTTTGAACAGAATTTTGGTGTAAGAATTATGTATCAATGTAATATGTTTAGAGCTACCATAATTTTATATCGGACAGAAAAAATTGTAAATAATGGACTCGCTTTTGCAATATCGTAAAGATTATTTTTACTATTTTCTGCATATATGAGAAGGCTCACATCAACCTATTAGAGTTTTGTTTAAAGAAATGCGAACTGCCAAAGCATTCTGCAAAGCTGAGAAAATTTCTTTAGATACTTTCGGTAAATATAATTTAAAAAATTGCTACTCGTTGGAAACAACATTTCATGGCGTATTTTAGGCTGCAGCCTGCTTGCAACAAAATCATTTTGTGTCTCCTAGGTTTTTTCGTCCATTTGCATTTGGTTTTCGAATGTCACTGGCATTTCAGTAATCTGAAATACGAGTGGTTTCCGGGCAAAAAAATGCTGCAAAAGACAAATGCAAAATTTCTGAGTCAAATTGAACTGAATCAGATTCAACAGAACCTATTATAAATTTACATTATATGTTTGATTGGTCATCTGCAAAATTCGTTGCAACTCAAGATAGTGAGATCGCATGAAATAAAAAATTTCTTTGAATCGAATTTTGAACCCCAAAATATTGACTGATCATGGTTCTCGGCAGTAACCTAATATTTCCGCAATATCTGCTCTTTTTCTAGATTTTGAATCAAAGATCTCAATAAAATTAAGTGACACTTTATTGTTGAAAACAATCTACCCTAGACAATCAAATAATCAAATCTTACATGACCCATGCCGTCCGAAAATGGTAGAATGTACGAAATGTGGCGATACCACAATCACCAGTACACATTGCACCCTCCAGATATGCCTTATGGGTCGCGATAGTCGACTCTCGCGGGAATGGGAAGGACAGGCAACGATAAATCTTTTTCCGTTGTTGCTTGAGATCGATATACTCCAAGCATATATTAGCATCAGCAATTTTTCTTTTTTTTTTAATTTGCTTATTTCCATCCATCGTGCATGTCTTTTTTCGTTTTACTCTCTCATTTTCTTTTTTCAAAATTCAAGTACCACCATTACCTAATCTCTTCAAATTTTAGTGAATTGTAAACACAAAACCGTTGATATCTTATCGTTAGCGCTTTTTTGCATTAGGTGGAGATATATTGGTAAAACAGTCCTACTATGTAACACTACTTGAATTTTTTCTTTTTGCTGCAGACTTTTTTCAGTACTCCACCACTCTTAGAAGTTTAGTCAGCAGGTAGCAAGTCTAACTTAACTGATATGTGACTGACCTAACCTGTGTTTGTACTTCTGTATTTTTTATGGCACACGTCGTGTGCATAAAATATAATAAATAAATAATCAAATCTCGCTGTAATAATCTTACTTTTCACTTTTAAACTTGGCGTCATGGAACGGTCATTGTGAGATTTTTAAATATCAATTTTAGACTCGCTGCGGCACTGTGATGTGGCTCCGACAAATCTATCCACTATCTAGAACTGAGGACGACGACAACAGTGAGTTGACAACAATTTTTTCGCCAAACCTCAACAGAAGTCTGCTTAAATGAATGTTTGGAAGAAGTATGACTTCTAATGTACACGCAATTGCACAGATTTCTGTTTTCACCTTCCACAGCATCACCATTGATAGATAAGTTGTTAGGCGCTAGACCGTGCATGGCGTTCATCCAATCAGGGGGAGCTCTCGCAACTCCCTCACCGTCTGTGTCTCCTTTCATCATGTTTTATTTCATAGCCGCACTGACATACAGGTCCGTGTGCGTCTCATGACTCACATGCTGCATTTCATCTTCATTGTAGAGCCACTATTAGCAATTGCCTGCTTTTGTGTTCTGATAAATGAGACATCTTCTATCTTCTCACGAGAAATCCAAATAATTCACAAAACTCAAATAATGCGTAAGTAAAATTAGCACTCATTATGCCTGTTTGGAGATTTTTTCCTGGGTAATAGTTCTAGGGTTGCCATGGAAGAATGAGGTCTGGAAATCGATTTTCAGACTCCATCCCTGGAAAAGCTTATCATTTTTCCGTGAGTGAATCTACCCGACATGCCTACTACGTTGGACTGGAGAAGTTTCTAGACGGCAGACAGCTGAATTCGTTACAAGTAATAGATACTTGGAAAGGTACTATCACGTAGGTTACTGGTGGAAACTAGGTGCTTTCAGTATGTCAAAAGATTGATTAGAGGATTTTAGAACATACACGCTTCCGCCAGAATTATCTTCTATTTGTATGCTTTATGAGGCTGGAAATGGTTTAGCACTAATCGGTGTTGGAGATGATAACAGTATAGCGGTAAATGGGTTTTGTTACAAACCAAATTTTGAATTGGTAGTTTGCGGATTGTATTATATTTTTCTTCCAGATATTCCAAGCAATTATAGACCATAGCTCAAAACGATTAGTCTCGGCAAGAGAACTTCTGGCACTGCAGTGTAGTTCGAATGAGGAAAGAATTTGGTCATGGAATAGTGCGAGGTGAAAATTTCAAATTTTAAACAATCAATGAAAGTTTTGATTACTAAACGTGATATAAAATATTTTACAGAAACGAAAATGGTATGGTACTTATGGAATTGGACCAGGCGATTAGAAAGTTGCGAATATTTACAATTAGACTGAATGGAGAAATTACATCATCAGGTAAAACTTGTCCGATATTGATTGCTCAGGTATTTTGATAAACCTCCAATTGTCGCAATTAGAGAGATCTGGGGTGGGAGGGGGTTATCATAGTTTAGCAGAGCGCATTACAAATTTTGCGCCCGATGACCATTTTTTACGCGCAGTTGTTGTCGGCAACGCAAGAACACTATACCAACCGTAAAATCGATTAAATCACAGTTGCGCACTTGCGTTGCGACGTTTTCGTCAAGAAATATAAACGATTACCATAACGTATCTGACATTTTCACTCGAAGGCTGCTACATGACGAAGATGCAGAAGCAGTATTAGTTGAGCGGGCCCGACGCTGCGCGCGCGTATCTTCACCGTTGTAAATCTTGCGCCTTATGCGCTCTGCGGCCAATGAAACTGCGTTCGCGCCCGAAGATATCGCGCCTTCGTCATGCAGCAGCCTATAACTTTCCTGATGTCACATTTTTTTAGGTTGCTATAATTAATTTTAGAGATCGACGACTTTCAAACGCTTGGCATTGCACCATACACTCAACCTTGGCAGGAGGGAAGCATCCTTTCCTCATTTGAGCGAATACCAAATGTATTTGGTAGACTAGCCTACACAGGAAGAATATTGAATATCGATATGGATACGCGAAAGGTCTGCTTTGGTTGCTTGAACTCCAGCGCTACTGTTTCAGTAAGCGTCCATAGATCGTCGCTCACTGACCGTTGAGCACACGTCGCGAAAGTTCGGCGGCGCGGTCGCGTAGAGGTCACTTTAGAGTACGCTCATTTTTTAGATAGTGTACACACAACCACACAATTGCCCATTCCAAGCACGAAATGGACGAGAAATCTATGCAGCACTCAAGGCTCCAAGATTGATGAAACAGATATATCGTAATGGTCGTTTATGGATTGTTGCCGAGTCTATGGCTCATATGGGCGTAGCTGTCAGTATCTGGACTGTTTTCAATCAAACGTGAGGAGATTATCAGAGGCTGAGTCTAGAGTTGGTCCTGTGCTGGTACAGCTTTGGCGCTGGCTTGAGACCCACCTGGACGCACCGTGTATTGATTGATAAAGCTCCGCCTAATTCCGCCGCGGCGCTAGCACGGCGGTGAAATCGGCACTGAACCCAGAGCAACTCTGAACGCAGCCTTACAATGTTCTAATTTGAATAATTTTCCTCGGAAAATGGAAATTCTTGCAGGTGGCAGTACGTCATGGAGATAAAGGCTAATTATCGCGACATCACTATGGATGTAACCGGAAGTGACACAGCAATTATTCTCATAAAAGAACCTCTGATGGATGATGCATATACTCAAGTAAAAGTGAAAAGTTTGTTGATGGTGCGACTTGGGTAAGTACTCAAACTATCTAATTGCATAAAACTTAAATTATATACTTATAGGAGCGTTCCTCGATTGACCACGGTTGCTCTGTTCAATGTGCTTGACGGACCGTACTCTCATAAATTCGATGAGCATATGCGATTGATGTTAGAAAAACGTTATAATTGATGGATGTAAATAAATCTAGAAATCAATAAAGGTTGTAAACTAAAAACTTCATTGGCGGAAATCATTTGCAGTGATCATTTGCTCAATGCACAAGTCTCACAATCATTCTGAGGATGAGGAAGAGAGAGATTGAAGAACAAGGAGAAAATCCTGGTTGTTCCTTCCTTCATCGGGAAGGTACGGGCATACGAGTCTGAATGACATAGAAAAGTCTACTGCCCACGAATGCGCAAAAGCAATACAGTTCGGGGAAAGAGGGGGGAGGGGGATACGGCGCGCACGTGGAGAAAGTTTGAGTCAGGTGGGCTCGAAACTTCGCGTTTAGTTGGTCGGTGGCTTCCCTCAGAGGCCCAAACTGCTCTTTTTTTGCTGAATACTTCCATCAAATGGTTCTCTATTGTTGAACGTCCAAGATACACCTAAGAAGACGTCTCCGTGATGGGATGCCCTCCAATTCCATTTTTGCTTCAGAAGCATATGCAGCCTTAATATCGCAGGACGGACATCATAGAAACGACGCTTACTATGTGTCTAGGTACACGATAGCAGTGCTTAGAAGAGTTGGAAGTTCGGCAGATCGCTGATCGTGTTAGCGGCGGATAGGAGACCTGGCTGTGGATGAGGAGATAAGGAGTCGTGGAAGCGTATTTAGTTGAATGTTCTCCTGCGGAGTCCGCATCAGATCCGCCCAAATTACGCTGAGTTAGCGTGGAACAGCATAACATACGACCTCACCGTTTGCATTTCAATCTCACTCACTTTCACATCTCTCCATTTCCTTTGAGTCCGTCGAGGACTCAAAAGAGCTAAGGTCCCAAAATGAAAAGAGTTTCATCGCTGAAAATTAGGAATAGTATTTTCGAGCTGACTGAGCGGTACAATGGCATTAGTCGAGGCAGCCTGTTGCAGTACGTGTGCCAGTGTAGCAAATGCCCAAGGTTCTGAACATTCCCGAAAATGGACTAACCTTCAAGGCAACGTGACGTCGCTATCATGCGGCGATAGTCATCGAAAAAACTATGGTCGCTTTATCGACCTCTGCTCTCGCGTTAAAATTGTTATTCTCGCCGTTAAAAAGAGTAGCCATGGGCGCCTTCACATCAAGACGCCTGATTTTGTCAGCGAGCCTCTTGAACAGTTCGCGGTAAAAGGTAACAATGCGAATCGCGTTTGGGGATGTTCGCGAGCGGGGACCTCAACTACGTTCCAACAGACGCGAGCTTCTGCATCGTTGTAGAGTAAGCGGCAGGAGCACGTGATAACAAATCGATAGACTTGTGTGCTTATAAGGGGAAGCGCATCGTGCTGAGTAGTATTCGCCGGTCTTGTAACATGAATCGGGCTACATTATGTGGTAGCTCAGTGAGATCGGGGCGGGCTCGGAACGTAATCAACAGGCGACAGACAACCGCTTCGACACGATAGACATGATACTTTTCGCCCGGAGTCGGATTTGCTAAACATGGAAGAACGACAAGAAGGCACATGCAGAAAAAGGTTTTCACTGCAAACTAAAGATAAACAACGTACATCTGCAGCCAATACCATTGCATAAAAGAGTTGGAAGATTTGGTTTTGGACCATAGCGGCGCAGGAAGACTGGCGGTGGAAGGCGGGACGAGGAACAAGGTCGTGGAGATATACGTCGTTGAATGCCTTCATGCGGGGTTCGATGTCAAATCCCCTAGAATATGTTGCGTCAGCGTAGAACAACATAGCCGCGAAAGAATGCTTAGCGCGCAGCACTCCTCTCATACTATCAGAAATCTTGCATCCACACAACTTCGCACATCCTCACAAAAGGTCTTCATAAGTTCCCTTCAGTTACTCAGAATCTCTTCTTCTCCATTTCGCTGAGCTCCGGCAAGGTCTTTGCTTTGATGGTACAGTCCGAGAAGAGAACGATGCCGTTTGCAAAAATGAAAGGGTAATTTTCCGCCAACTCATACGCCTCTATCCCGCTATTTCATCACCCACTGCAAGACCACGGTGGACAACTTTTTGTTTCATACTGCAGTCATATTGCAGCTACAGAGTGGCGGTAGGACGGTCCAGACTGCAGGTTCCACTGACTTAGCGGGGACAACTGGTAAAAATATAATGGTTTATCAGAAATATGACAGACCTGAAAAAGAAGCCGATATGCAAATACAGAATAAGAGTAGTAGATGATGAGTTACAGAAGAGCTAATGTAGAACAGTGAACGTTGGTGAGGAACTGTCGAGGAACGGAATAGACAGAACCGACACACGAGATATGGTGCTTCGTACATTCCATGACTTTGGTTCATGGCTAATAGTGTGACAAAAAACCTAGGCCACGCGCCTGGATGCTATACGTCCCCTCCCCTTATCGTGAGTGGCGTCCCGACACTTAACAAGCTATAATTTATCTTTGATTTCTTCTTCCTTGCTTTTCCTTGTGGTCGTTGTCCAAACGGTCCTTGCACATTTGATCCGTGTCCATGTGATCCTTGTCTATACGACTTGTCCAAGCTATCTTCTTCCAGATTTTTGACACCGCAACAAGTGTCCACTCTTTTCTGTTTTATTTCGTTGTGTTTTTCCACATGTACGACGTTCGGCAGAAATGTGCTCTGACACGGTCAGCCATTTTAAGAAAATCCCAAAATGCGCGAGGGTATCTAATCCATCTGTGCGTTAAAGCGAAGCGGTATTTTCATATCGCTTCGCTTTGAAACTCTTAAATTTTTTCACAACATTCTTGTTTGCTAAGGGATTGGAATTGTCTTCATCTTGCTGTTTCACGCATATTCGTTTGACATCGACTGATCTATTCTTGGCTCTTGTTTCTTTTTCAGCTTGTGCATCTTCACAGCTTTCGTCGATTGCTTTATATCGGTCACGGATTCCCCAAGATTCCGTTTTAATTCTTGAAATCGTGCTTCATCTTTCTGCGTTTCGTGCTCCTTCTTTCTTCTTTTCTTTCTTGGCCCAGAAACTTCCTTCCTGCTTTTTGCATCATCTTGCTTCCTCCAAGTAGTATAATGTCTGATACAACAGTTTTACTAAATTCAAGGGTTCTTTGACTGAACCCCTGAGCAAATTGCTATTGGTATAACTTCGAATCACTTTGATAACAAAGTTGCATAGGACATCTGTCCTTAAGATCAGCTCATTTCCTAATGATCTGGTGACATATACCGGAATCTTCTTGGACTCGCCAAACAATTTCGTAGGCATCTTGATTGCGTCCAAGATTTCTATTCTGTTACCAGAAGGTCGCGTATCGTAGCATTAGGTACTACTCCTGAGATTCTCTCCACGTAAGCATCTAGATCAACTCCAGCTTCTTTGTCCCTCGTGAACAGCTTTAACGATGCTATGGATACCTTGGAGCCAGTGTCTATGAGTGCGTTAACTTCCATATTCATAACTTTTGCCGGCACAACTACCTTCTTACCGTCAAATTCTTCGGCAGTCTTCCTTGCGCCTGTGGTTGTGCATAACCAGCTATCAAGAGCAATGGAGAACGAAGATGCCTTGTGTTGTTCAGTTCTTTCTATGTTGTCCTTCGTAGCATTCTGCAGTGTGCACTGTTTCGCTTTGAGCCCTGATTTGCCATATTTGAAACAACGATTACTTTTCTCCTTGCCTTTCACGGTCAATCTTCCTCTACTTTCACCATAATCAGCGGCCGATTCCGAATCAGACAACTGTTTCGATGAAGCTTGATTCCCATAAAGCCTTTTGTTATTCATATCACTGGCCTGCTTGACTTCCTTTCTATGCAGATTTCCTTCCAGCCACAGCGCTGCTTCTTTCACTTTGTTATAAACGACATATCGCGGGCTAGTCTCAATCGCCTCGTCCAGAACATAGCTTTCTTTCCAATTAATTAACTGGGAATACACAATTTTCGCTTTCTGGAATGACACCCCTTCCATCTCTTTATTAGGATAAGCTTGAATGCACTTTCTCTCCAGTACGAAGCAGAAATCACTTACTGTCTGATTTCTTTCCATTCTCAGATTCTCCAGCGTAGCCAAGGCTTGTACATAAGAAATGTTGCCTCCTTTATCTAACCTTTCCTTCATCGCTTGTACTACGCTGTCGAAGGAGTCTTCTTTCATACTCCGCGGCAGTGTTTCAAATAAATTCAAGGCTTCTCTTTTCAGAAAATTTCCAACAAGTTGTATCAAACTTTTATCATCCCAATGCTTACTTGGATACTCCAACAGACTTCACGAACTTGTTGAAACTCTCATTTAGCCACCATGAAAAGGTTCTACGTGTGGTACTGTAGACGCCAACATGAATTCTTTCATGGTAAACTCGAATTAGAGTATTGTGACGCATTTTGCAATCGAACTTCATGCACATTTGTGTTCAACTGTTGTCGATTGCTTCTGCTCGACTCTAACTCGCGCCTATGCAAGGAGGTCTTCAGTAAACTATCCTGCGCATTCTGCACTGTCGACGCTTTGATAAAAGTGTGTTGCCTTCCTTATTTATGTTTGCAGACCTTTGATATTTGCGTTGAACTACATAACGTTCAAAGTCGCCTTCTGATGCGTCTGTTTCCCGATCTGCATCAATATCAAATGGATCTGTGCTGGCCCCGTTGGTTGCCACAACCTCCGCTCAAAATCCTGAGCTTGAATTGGAGGCACTGAACCTCACTTGACACTTCCTAAATAAACGGTGGTGGTAACCTCCATGGGAAACGGGCGTCGGCACGGTCGTCGGTGAGTAGAAAAGGCTATAGCAATATGCGAGAAAGCGCTTTGGAGACACATGCGCAGCGGCACGCCTGGGTGTGCTCGCTTACAACGAGGATGCGGCTTTCACACCTGAAAGTAAGGCAGTTTGTCTTTTAGCCCTTGTGCAATTGTATGTCTAAATCGACATCATATGACTAGTACGCGCGCCCTGTGAGCGAGTCGGGGAGTTGTGTTTTTAGTGCAAAAACGGCTTTTATAAGATAGCGTCCAGAGAGTGTTTGAGCATGTCAGTTGTCAGTTCAAACTTTGTCTTTTACGGAGCCATGGGCCATGACAAGCTGTAGCCAGATTCGAGCAAGAG